GGACCACCAACTTCGCCTTCGGCCCCTTCACTCCCACCAGCTCCGTCACGGCCTCAAACTCCTTCAGGAAGCTCAGCACATCTCCGTCCTCAAACTCCTTCGGCCATGGGATCTTCATCCTCAGTGGAGGCAGCGACACCAAATGTAGTGAAGAAGAACACGGGTGAGGACAGCCAAATTGTATTTAGGACAAATTACAGAATTACTTGGTAAAATAGGAAAACCATATAGTAAATCGTTAATTTGCAAAATATCATTCTATCATATCAAACCGGGCTGTTGCTGTTGCAAACATCAATCCATTGTCTCGCATTTCATTGCTCATGCGATTTCTTACAAATTCCATTGTTTTCTCGCTCTTCTTTTCTTGATCTTCTCCATCTTCTGCTCCCAGCCATTACGTTCTTTTGACTCACGTTATATACTACTTATATCAATATAAGTAGCACGCACCACACTATCACTAAATAACATTAGCTGAAAAACCAATGAAAACTATGAAAATGTAAACAGTCACTAAGACCAAGTTTTGAGATTTCATCACTTATAAACTTCTCACTCGACATTCGCAAATCCATCACAAAAGTCAAAATCAAGTGCATTGACGATCTGTTGTAGTTTCAATTCAATTCAGTTAATTGATTTCCTCTGTATTATAAACATGAAATAATTTTGTTTGAGATCCTAAATGGACCAATGTTAGACAACCATTGCACTGCCGAGGAGTCTCGTACTAGGACGAAACGGCCATCCAGTACTTCTAGGTTTTCAATAGTGGTCTAACATTGATCCATTCATGATTTCAATCAAAACTCAACAATCTCCGAAACCATATACTGATAAAATAATCTTGGTGGTTTATTTTAACAAAATATATATCGTTTCAGGTTACTAGTTATTCGATGTCATGATACATTAAGTACTCATTTCATGTACTCTTCTATAATCGAATTTGACCTTTGATTCCTCGTTTGATTAAATGACAGAATGCAATGTCTGCATTAAGGATTTAAACACGTCTTCATAGCTGACCTTATATAACTGAAACTAGAATGAATTGGTTTTATTTTTCGGAAGCTATACAGAGTTCTTAAGAGATAATGATGCTTATTTTGCGTGCACATGACTTAATACTTTTATAAGAACAACATGAAAATCAGTTCTCAGTACATGAACTGAAGAAACCGGCTGTCTGAATAATAAGTTCACAAATAAATGACTCATTTTATATACATTTAACTACCCAAATCACTCATCTCTGGTAACTATTTGTCAGTTTATTCAAGTAAATTCTTTATAATATCTAGCAACGATTGTCTGTTCGGACCAATTGATGATTACTGCGAGTTTCATGTTAATTTTATGTTCAGTGATTTCGTTAATTATTAAGGAATAGTAATTCTGGGTTTCTATTTACTCAGTTCTAATCACTGTAAAATAAATGGACAACATTCATTACAGCTCCTTTACTACGACAAAGTGAGTTTTAATATTGATGCTGGGGCTTGTTTTGCCAAGCTTATATATATATATATATATATATATATATATATATATATATATATATATATATATATATATATCATCAATCGATATCACTATTTTCATCGTCATATCTTCACTGCATTGTCATGTTCTAATTTTCACTTGCTCATTTACGCACGACATCCAGTTTTACCGTTATGATATTTGCCGTAGATCTGTTTATATTTGTGGTGCTACCAACAACAATAATAATAAATTATTATTGTTGTTACTTTCTGTATTACCAATTCATCTATTTTTATAAATTACTTTTTCATTCAAATAGTTTCTTTTGACATGCTATCGACTTTATTTGTGAAGTATTATCATCACTATGGTCGTCCTTATTCACGTATTATTTCTAATGGTATATTATAATGCTGAATGTATTCATTAACAAAATGTCCATAAATTTTATACCTTATATGAAATGGAATATTATGAAATTGAAATGATCTGGATATATGTGCGCTGTTTTATTAATACTATACGAGTGGAAATATTTAAGATTTGTTCCCTAAAAACTATCATCAATAAAAAATCTCAGGTGTGACCTCTGATTTCCTATTGATTAGTAAGAACACTGTAAGTAGGATTTAGGTGAGTTGATTAGACACAGAAAAACAATGTTACTGAACATGTTGAGTTACATTGGTTTAATGGAAACAATCATTATTATAACCAATTGTACCAGTGATTGTTTTACTGTACATGTTTGTTTACCTGTACTAAAGACATCGTTCCTTCCTTTGATCGTGACCTTGCACGAATTCGGTTACGCTCAGTAACCACACGTGTACTCCTTTGGCACGATCTCGGTATTCTTTCGATACCACGAGATCGCCAACGAATACATCTCGACTACAGCCATCAACTGCCTTCTGATATTTGGCTTACGGGGAATCTTATCCGTTAACTGGCACATAGTCTTCCTGTAGTGATGATCATAGTCAACCGCGACTAGACGCCACGCTACACATGTGTAATACTGAATCACTTACACCTCATTATCAAAATGAAAATCTGTTTTCAGATATTGACAATTACATTTTTATAAGTACACAGTGCAAATTTAGGAATTTTTTTAAAATTAGTCAAATAGATTATCTTGAAACAATTCTATCACAGTGTCAATATTGTATAACTTGTTCACTCGAACTTCATCATTATGGATAACCAGAAATAAAACCACTGATGACCATGAAGAAATATTTTCATTTAATTCAAACTATTACTGCTTTGAATTTGTCCATGTTTTCAATTATACTCGTTTATATAGTAGATTTGTGAATGTTTTCACTTTCATTGAAATCATCCATTTTTTTATGAATCTTATCAAGTTATCTGTTTCTTTGATACTTTATATGATTAATATATATTCTGTGTTGAAATATACTTAATATATTTCTGATAAAGATGTATAAACTGCCTGTAACAGTCATCATGAATTTGTTAAAAACAAAAGTATATACCTTTAATGACGATTTCTCACCTTTTCTGTCATTTATATAATACATATGTCTAATAAAGCTTATGAGTTTATGTTACAGTAGAAATTTGTA